AGAGGCTGAGGCAAGACCAGCCTGGGCTAAAAGTGAGCTCAAGGCCAGCCTGAGCTATGGGAAGGGGATGTAACTTAGTGTGAAGGTTCACCTCCCAGTACGGCAAAATAAATGAAAAAGGAAAGAAGAAAGGACAATTCAGCACATAAAGTGTTAAAAAGGATACAAATATAGCACTTTTACATTCACTCTCCCTGGATGTTGTTAGGATATTTAGTATTGTAGTACTGTACATACATACCAGAGCTGCCTTGCAGACCTAGTAGTCTGAGGACAAGCAGGTAATAGAGATGATTTCCTAACCCCATTGTACCACTGCTTGTGGGATCCCCCACTACTCAGTGGATTCCCAGTGCCAGTTTCCCCGCATTCCTATGTCCTCTGTCATGGGCTCTAGAAACATACCCTCAAGTGCCTCTTTCAAAATCTCACCAGGTGAAACCACGTGAAGCTGCAGCACGGCTCACTGAAATTTAAGATCCACATCTCACTCTTCCCTGAGACCTCTTCACTCTGCCCTGCCCCCTTGAAAGCCTGTCTGTGTTACCACCACAGAGCTCCATCTCAGGGCTCTGAGGATCTGGGGCCTTCAGTCTATGCCTGCAGACCTCCAGGCCCCAAGCTCTGGCCTCACCACCTGGATCCTGAGTGACTGCGCCGAGGATGTGGAAGGGCCAGCCCCACTGTGGGCATTTCTAAGGGGATTCACGTTGGTCTAGAGAGACCCATGATGCTTTGGGATCTCATTTATCTGACCCAGGTCAGACAACATGAAGTCATATTTAAAACAATTATTGTTTCCTGGATTTCCTAAGGAGGAATCCTTAGCACAATAGAGTCTATGATGTAAAGGTATACTTTTAGCACTATGGCTGTTGGAAATGGTAGAGACTTATTTAAAGCTTTCTAGAAAACACTCAACAGAAATTTTATGATAGAGCATAAGACTGAGAGTCAGGCACTTTGAGTCCTTATCTCATCTTGCCACTGTCCACTGGGAGGTCAGTCATCAGCCTGTCTGAACCACGGGATCTTGTTCTAGAAAATTATATCTAAATTTGATGATATATTCACTCATTTATTTGTTCCTTCACTAGGCAAATGCATCACGAAGTAGTGCCAGGCAGGTAGAGACCTAGTTCTCACTGCCCATCCAATGACTCAAGCTGGGACTGATTTTATAACCATGTTACACATTATATGTGACCATATGCCAGCTATGCCTACACAACATAGGTAGTAATAGCTTCATGGTACACAAAAGTGATTGTGGACAGCATAAAATATCACATGAACCTCAGATTAAAGGTATTCCCAAATCCCCAGGTCAGCATAGCCTCCCAAATCCCTCCTCTGGAATGGCAGTTGATGAGCAGATACATATGATGGAAGTGGAGTGAAGAATCCTAACTGATGCCTGCACTACAGAGACACGGGCCACGGAACACATTACTAGGTAAGTCCACTCCCAAGCTTTGGACGGGCTTGGACAGGCCAAGAGCCTGGCGCTCAAGTCCTGCTGGCTTCATAGTGGATGTGTTTCTGTGAATATCAGTTCCTGAGTACAGTGAGTGGGACTCTGGACCTACAGGAATCAAACAGATTCTTAACTCCACCATCACTCATTTCTGGTTTTGAACAAATTATTTAATTTCTCTATGCCTCAGCTTTGCAATCTTTGAAACAGGAATAATAATGAATATGTAGGGCTGCTATGAGTTGAAGAAATAATGTATAAAGTGCATAGTTTGGAGCCTGGCACATCATGGATAATAAAATGGGAGGCATACTTAGTGAAGAAGAAAGTGATGTTGGTAACAGTGCTTTATTGATACAATAAACACTTGGGAACATTTAGGTATGTAATATACTTTGGTCCTTGTTTTAATCCACTTTCTGTTGCTATGACAAAATAGCTGAGCCTGGATATTTTATGAAGGAAAGAGGTTTAGTTGGCTTACAATTCTGATGGCTAGAATGCCCAAAGAGTATGGCGCAGGCCCCTGGCAAGGGCTTTCCTGCCTGTTACTACATGGCCAAGAGGTGGGAAGGGAAATGAGTGTGGAAGGGGCAGCTCCCGCTTATAACAACCCACTTGCAAGAAGCACTTGTACTTCAAGAACTACATATGTGAGTCTTGTCCATGTGGCGCTCCCATGACCTAAGCAGCTTCCGCTAGGCCCTGTCTCTGAAAAGCTCTGGGCCTCTCAGCACCGCCGCACTAGGATCCCAAGTCATGTGGACCTTTAGGAACGCACTTAAACCACATTCAGCTTGTAGCGGCCCTGTAATGAGTGTTTTCAAACAGCTATGACTTCTGAGTGACTTAGTTTTAGTGTTTAAACTTTTTTCAAAATTCTGTAATAAAATCTGGTGGAAAATGGCTTAAAAAGCTTTCCAATCTGAGCAGAAAAGTGGCATAAACAGGAGGTTAAGGCAGAAAAAAAAATGGGAAAAATTAGGAAATATTTTCATATTGCTAGAACCAAGAGATACAACTAACATTCGTATCAGTTGTTTCTTGTTTTTCACTTTGTTTCGTTTTTAAAATTTTTTATTTTTATTGACACAGAGTCTCACTATGTAGTGCAGGCTGGCCTTGAATTTATAGTGATCCTCCTGCCTCAGCCTTCTGAGTGCAGGAGTACAGGTGTGCCCCACCATACCTGGCCAGCATGTTAGCTGATTCCCACAGCTGTGACTTCCCTTACTTGTCTGTCTGCTTTGTAACCTCCCATCCATCTCCTCTAGATTACAGTACTTTGTATCACATTAGCTCTGAGTTCCATGAATTTTCCTACTATGTGCCTCTCTGTAATACCCTTGTTTTTGCACAACTAATGTTTATAACTGTTTTTTTTTTTTTTTAATGTATTTAGTACAAGGTGCTCAGAATCTCACTACACAGATCAGACTCGTAGTGATCCTCCTGTTTTTAGCATCCCAAGTGCTGGGATTACAGGCACACACCACCATGCCCTGTCTCAATAGTGGCTCAGCATGCCCCAGGGGCGAGGCCGGCATGGCAAGCCAAAGATCAAACCTCCGGCCCCTGTGTCTGCCTAAGCAAGAGCTTTAATCTGCTAAGCTATCTGGCTGGCTCTAACTAACTTTTATAATAGCAGAAAAAGCTTAAAAGGAGCAGAGCAGTCTGCCATTCATTTCTTGGCTCTACGTAGAGTGGCCCCCTCACTGTTCTGTCACGGTGGCATCAATGTTCGGACTTGGCTTAATATTGGGCTTGAAATTAAACTTTGGAATGTTAGCTGATTGATCTAGAGTTTTCCAAGTCCCTCTCCTTCAAGGCTTCCTCCAATCCAAAGGTTTTTAAAAGAAGAGTTGGGATGGCTGGGATGTGGTTCAGTGGTACAGTTTTTGCCTCACATGCACAAGGCCCTGGGTTCGATTCCCAGCACCAGAAAAACAAAATCAGGAGAGTAGAGGATTATAAATATATATATGATATACCTTTAGTTATTATAACTTAACTGTGTATTTTATAATTAATAAGCACCTGCATGTATGTATATTACCATACAGTGGATAAACTAGTTTGTTGCTTGGAGAAACTGAAGAAATGACCTTACCTTATAAAAATGAAGTATAAGAAGTAAAGCCAGGGCAGGGGAGATGGCTCAGTGGAATAAGTGCTTCTCTGGCAAATGTAGGGGCCTGAGTTCAATCCCCTGTTCCGCAAAAAAAAAGCAAAAACAAAAAACAAAGTAAAGCCAGGCTGTTATGTTGAGTTGTAGGGGACTCAGGTCAACAATTTCTGACATTGCCAGTCAAGTGGAAGACCCAAAACTATTATGGGCTACTGAACTCTTTTAGAATATTTTGCTGAGTTTACATACCTATAATATTTAAATGATGGAACTTAACAAAAAAAGGGGATACAGATGAATGTCCCTTTTGTATCTGTGTATTCAAAGTGGTTAGGATAGATATGTAGTTACATTCTCTTAATGAATAGAGGGATTTGTTCTAATGGTGTTTGTAAATAGGATATCAAGTCTGCATCTTGTACAGCAATTAACCACTAGGAAGAATGTATGCACTGTGTTAAATTATCGAAACTGTCCTACCAATTTGGTTTGAAACTGTCTCATTGCTATTTGCTTCTCAATAAAATTATGAAAAAGAAAAAAAAAAAAAAAAAGAAAAGAAATGACCTTACTGCTAATGCCCTGCCTTGGCAGTTTCCAAAACAGGACTGTAAAATGCGAACAATAAGCAGGAATGCATTGATTGCTCTCAGAAGCAACTGTGAAGACAACTGCAGGCTACTGTAAAGCATCTGAAGGTTTCGAATGTTAAGGCTTAAAATATCAAACCTTCTATCAGGGATGTAAATTGGGAGCAGGACTGTGCACTTTCAGAGTGAGATTTTGTCTTTTTCATTTTCTGATTGTGAGTCTGGACTGCAGTGTCCTAGAAAGTAGGAGTTCCTAAAAGATGTAGGTGTATTTCTATCAAGCTCATGTTTGCAGGCCTGAGCTGTTTTCTTCCACCTATCACACCAGAAGAAAAGGCATGTGAAGGAATTTGGCTGCTTTGGCAGGGACCCTGGGGTCCACATGGCTGCGCCACTCAGGGCTCGGTGTCCCACTGGTGGTCTCGTTCAACTTAGTAATCAGCTTTGGAAATACTCTGCCAGGTGATAGCATTTCCCTGACTGGAGCCAGGCCATGCCGGGGAGTGCCTGGATACACAGAGAGCTCTCAGGTGAGATACTAAGAACACAAGCTCCCCACTTTTTCCTTTACAGTGCTACGAATTGAAACCAGGGCCTTGCACACACTAGGCAAGGGCTCTGCCACTGAGCTGCAGCACCAGATTTTTATTCCTTTATTTTGAGACACAATTGTGCTAAATTGTTTAGGCTGGTCTCAAATTTACAATGCTCCTGCCTCGGCCTCCCAGGTAGCTGAGGCCACTATAACCCAACCCAAATTTTTTAAAATGAGCAAAAGATTTGAAAAGACACTTCATAGGCCCCGGCCCCCAGCGCCCACCTGGTCGGCCGGCCCAGCCATGATCAAGGCGATCCTCATTTTCAACAACCACGGGAAGCCGTGGCTCTCCAAGTTCTACCAGCCCTACAGTGAAGATACACAACAGCAAATCATCAGGGAGACTTTCCATTTGGTATCTAAGAGAGATGAAAATGTTTGTAATTTCCTGGAAGGAGGATTATTAATTGGAGGATCTGACAACAAACTGATTTATAGACATTATGCGACGCTGTGTTTTGTCTTCTGTGTGGATTCTTCAGAAAGTGAACTTGGCATTTTAGATCTAATTCAAGTATTTGTGGAAACATTAGACAAATGTTTTGAAAATGTCTGTGAACTGGATTTAATTTTCCATGTAGACAAGATTCACAATATTCTTACAGAAATGGTGATGGGGGGAATGGTATTGGAGACCAATATGAATGAAATTGTTACACAAATTGATGCACAAAATAAACTGGAGAAATCTGAGACTGGCTTAGCAGGAGCTCCAGTCCGTGCTGTATCCGCTGTAAAGAATATGAATCTTCCTGAGATCCCGAGAAATATTAACATTGGTGATATCAGTATAAAAGTGCCAAACCTGCCCTCTTTTAAATAAAATATTAAAAAGGCCACTCCCGGGTAAAAACCAGGGGGATAAATCATCTAAGTTTACCATACAGTTGTTTACCAAACAATAGAGGAGGAAAGTCTTAACTTTTTGCTCTTGGATTTAAGTCAAGGTACTGTATAGAAGTTGTGTAAAATCAGTATGAAAGTTCAATGTTGCTTTTCTTGCTCAGTGATTTTAAAGAAATTGTATACTTCCAGTGTGATTTTTTTGGTTGTTGTTTTCTAAGCTGCATTCCTATGCCCACCTAAGGCATGCCTCTATGTATTGGCTATCACAGTATTTCAAAAGTGAGGTATTTCTTTAATTATGTACAACCCAAAATGTTGGTGTTTTGTATGGATCACAAGTGCAACATTCCTTAATTCTTTCTGCTCTTTGTCACAATTGTTAAAGAACCAAGTATGTATTGCATGAAAACATGATGACCTTTTCCTCTTAGTTTAAATAAACTCCAAGGTAACTGGAAAAAAAAAAAAAGGAAAAGAAAAGATACTTCATAGAGAAGTTGTAGGCATGGAAAGCAAACACAGGAAAATATAATCAATATCATTAGGAAAATGTAAATTAAAACCATAATGATATTCTACTGCATTTATTAGAATGGCTAAAAGAAAAGACTGACCATACTAATTACTGGCAAAGAGATGGATAAGGTTGAGCTTTCATACATTGCTAGAAGAAATATAAAATAACATAAGCACTTTGGAACTTGACATTTTATTAACAATAAAAAATATATATATATATATATATATACCTATCATATGACTTAGTCCGTGTACTTCCAAGTATTTATCCAAGAAATCACATGGCTCTTGGAATGTACACATACGTATTTGTACTCAAATGTTCATAACAGCTTGGTTTGTTGTGGCTCCAAATGAGAAACAATCCAGATATCTCTCAACAGCTGAATAGATAAGAAAATTGGCATATTCCAAACCCTGAATATTTAGCAATAAAAAGGAATGAACTATTGGTACATACAATAGCATGAAGAAATTGACATGGATAAACCAGTAACACAATTATTTTGAAAAAAAGCCAAGCTCCAGGCATGGTGGCACAAACCTGCAATGCCAGCACTCGGGAGGCTGAGGAAGGAGGATCCTTGAGAATTCGAGACCAACCTGGGCTACAACCTGGGCTCAAGGCCCACCTGAACTGTATAGTGAGACCCTGTCTCAAAAAAGACCAAAAAAAAAAAAAAGCCA